TTACCAGTTAATCTTGGGCTGAGCTGGCAGATCATTAACCCACTTACAGGTATTTCTGGATAGTTTGGAAGAGCCAACCAATCAACAGGAGGCTCCTGTTATTCTTCGTTTATGCCCACCTGCTTCGCATTGCTTCGCTCCGGGACGATGGATCTGTCCAGTCTAGGCCCATGGAGAACGCGCTGACCAGCTGGCCAAGAACCTGCGAGCACGTCAGGCGGGCACCGAGGACGGCATGGTCCGGTTCAGCCCGGGGACTCTGGTGATTTCCCGTTACGGTGCCGTGTCATTTTGGTTCCAAGCTTGGGGGGGACGGGGGGCAAGCACCCCAGCTCTGGAGGGTTTTCGAAAAAGACCGGCTGGCTTGCTTCTTGAGAGCTTTTTTGGGGGACAATTACATTCTGTAGTTGGAAACTATCCTTGTAGCAATAGATTCTTGGCCCCAATCGAGTGCCATTTGACGGAAGGTAGGGATGTGCAAATTGCATGTCATACCAGGATGCGTCAGCAGAAACATCCCAAATGATAGATCGTTCTCAAATTTCAATGAGCTAGGGGATAGTGGTGTGCTCAACCCCAAAGCAACTGCCCTGCCATCATTTTTCGGAAGAGACTCGACCCATTTGTGAAAGCATGTTTTTGGATTTTATTGGGAACTGTGATCAGGAACTGCTCCTGGAGCGGGCTTGCCTGGGCTTCGGCATGAAGAATGCCAGGCGAGAGAAACTGGAGTTGCCAAAGGCGTCTATGGTTGGGGAAAGCATGGACTCTGTGGTTTGTCAGGATGGTCTGTGGTTCGGCTCGCAAGGTCCCTCCTTTGATGCACTGCTTTTTGCCCGAATCACCATGTGGAAAGTACCCATGTTCAGGGCAGCTCGACAGCTCCCCATACCAGAGCAGCAGATGCAGTGCACTATTCCACATTCCTCTTCCCTATTCCAGTGCATGTGGAAAGTACATTGTACATGATTCCTTCCATCCCCCCCCACTTTCTTGTCGCTGCCAGCTAAGGGGCTGGAAGAGGTAAACAAGCACCCCAGGTTCTGTTAGAGCGTTCTGCGGGATTTGGAGGATGTCCTTTCGAGACAGTCGAACAATGAATCTATCGACACCGCAAAGAAGCGACAGAGTCTGCTGCTCTTCTGAAGAATCTGTTCCGATGGGGTTCCAATTCGTTCATCCAATCCCTTTGTGCACCCACCCCCCTGGACCATTCACCTGAATTCACCCGAAGTCACTCGAATTCTGCGCGCTTTCGGTGCTCACCGTACCCACTGAGGCAGCTCTTGCGGTCCTGCTTCAAGGCATGGCACGCCAGGCGACGAAACCGTTTCGAGGGCGACGAAGACGACGAAGCCGTCGTCTTCGTCGGGTGTTTGGGTGGAGTCGCCTTGGCGGGCTGAAAGGACCTCGCCAATCCGTGGAGAAAACGGTCACTATATGAGGGGTGAGGGGGAAGACGCCAAGGTGGCACGGATGTGAACTGGAAAAGGAGGTTTCTTCAAGTTCAGCCTTAGATCCATTCACTTTGCCTCCTAGTCTTCCTTCGTCAGATCAGTGATCCTCTCTCTGTATTTCCTGGGCATAAAGCCAGAGGTCCACTGGGTTCTTCCAGCCGATTCCCTTCAGGATTGAAGCCTTGCGGATGGTCCATGGATGCAAGCGTGGTTTCCAGGCATGCGGGGTTTTGGTGGTCAAGGGGTGAGAGAAACAAAAAGGGATAGAAGGGGGTAGAAGGGTGTGCTCTCCACAGACCGAGGCGTTCTTTTTTATTAAAAGATTCACTATTGTACTGAGTTACTTACTGGAGTTGTATCGAGTGTATGTCATGGTTTTCTAGAGGATTTCTAGATTGCTATGTCTTTTTCCGGTTCATTCCAATGCGTCGTTTGGGGAGCGTTGTCGTTACACGCTCCAGAACATCTGCATGTCTTCAGCTCCAGGGGAGGATGGAGGCGTTGGCAGCCAAGATGCTCGCGCGCTATTTGGAGGCAGGGGGGCTCCCAGGTTGCTGACTGGGATTCCAACAGTTAACCGGGAGGCTTTTGGCAGGACCTGGGCATCCCCAAAACTACGATGATCAGGCGGATCAGGTGGTCTTCCGTGGATTTCAACAGATGAAGCCAGACTCAACAAGGACTTGATTTTAAGCAAAGAGGGAATTGGGAGGTGGTTGAAATGGTGGTTGGTAGCCAAGTGTGATTCTGGATACTGTACGCCCTAATTAATCATGAAACCACTTTAGCGTGGAGAGGCAATGGTTCATGCTAGGAGTTCAATTAAGATGGCCAAGCTCACTTAACAGCTGAATAGACACACGCCCACACACACTTCCTTGGTGAGGGGAAGTCCTCATCTTCCGATCTTGCTAAGTTTGTTGAGCTGATGGTGTGCCATCGGAATTTCTTAAGGTGCTCCCCAAGCCACGTGAGCTCAACCCGTCACGGCAAAGCCAGGCCACTCCCCACGCAGTCTTTCTGGCTTGGCACGGGCCCCTGAATGGACCTGGGCGGTGGGAGCTGAGTGGTGGGCGTTGGCTCCTTCACGCCAAGCAGACTTTCCGCTCTTTGGCTACCGGCGACGGTTTCCTTCCAATCAATCTCTCCAGTGAGGTTCACTTTGGAGGGTCCAATCGATTGAGTCTTCACAGCCTTTTTGGAACAAAACCGCCCAAAGATATACCAAACCAAACCATCACATTCTATAGATATATAGATGATCTTTATATTAGACTCCCCGGACTCCCCGGACTGGCCCAAGCCTTCCCCAGATCATGGCCTTCTTTTCCTTTCGCATCCGACTGGACCGACGGACCCAGGTCTCGCGCCACTCGGCAGATGCGCTACGAGCGGGCGGCCCAGCAGATGCTGTCCAAGGTGCGGCGAGGTCTCAGTCGTTCGTTAGGGGTCCCCTAGTTTGGGAGGGATTTTGGGTGGGGAGGGATTTTGGGCAGATGTTTGAGGGAGGGAAGAAAGACATACTTGCGTACCATGATCATGTGTTTCTTTATTGTGTTCAACACATTTTGGTGGCGAACGACTGTCGTGCTAACTGAAGATAGCTGCTAGCTGCTAGCTAGCTATGGACATTCAGAAGCACCAAAGCGGACAGATCTAGCTTAACGCCGTCCAGCACATCCAATCTTCAAGCTGCTCCGGGCAGCTCAAACGACTGCCCAACGGTCGGGGGGGTCCACCGGGTCTAGCTCGCTGGCTCCACCCAACTCCAGAGGGTCCAATCATTTGAACGAAAATGGTCGGACGACTCCGGAGGAAGTGCTGCTCCACATGACCCTGGAGAAACATGCCATGGTGGGTGGAGAAATGGGTGGCCTCCCATGGAGGTCATGACCCTGGAAAGTGGAGGTCATGCCACCCACGGCTGCGGCTGGACAGCTGGACAGGTGGATTTCCTGAAGCGGTCGAAGTTGTCCAATCGCGATGCCTTGCTCTCAAGGACTTGCGGGTAGACTCACCGGGCTGTGGCGGGTGGTTTCTGCCGATGAGTCATCGAAGCCAGTCTTGCATTCAATTAGGAATGGGATTGATTCTTTCTTGAGCCACTCCATATTCTCTGGCATTCAAGATCCACATTGTGGACTGTCGTATCGCCAACACGTTGTCGTTAATCAATAGAGAGAGAGAGAGAGAGAGCGTGAGAGCACTCAACCCACAATAGCAACATTATAATACTCAGCACACCCAACCATGGAGAAATTCTATAGATTTCTACAGTATGTTATGTATAATATACTGTGTATATAGAGTCTAGTGTGTTTAGTTTTGGCAATCTATATTGAAGAAATGGCTATGTCAGGGTTACTGACCTTCGGACCTTCGGCACCCCTTTCTTCTTCAGAGCTTTGCCATTGGGAGCGTCGCCTGCCACGTCGCCTGCCAGGAGTCAGGATGCACAGCTCCGGGCCCTCGCGCGGAAGATCCTGGCGTTTTGGTGGCAGGAGCACAGCTGTGGCTTTGGGTGGGAGGGCTGAAGACGAAGAAGTACTTTGAAGTATGGGGGTGGGCTCATGGAGTCCTTATTGGTTTCATAGTTTTTGAGGTTTCTTCATTGCATTTCGATCAGATGGAATCGGGGGGGTGGTGATGTTTGCATCGTAATTTGAGTCTGTTCTTGAGTGGTCCATTTGTCGGAAAAAAATGGAGTCTTAGTTCTTCACCGAACGAACGAACCCATTGGATGCTCATGTTCTTTTGACCAGCAGGGTGATACGGCGCCTGTGAAGCGTGAGACCCTGTGAACAAGGTGTTTTGACCGATGGCACGAGCTTCACCGATGCTTTGACCGATGGCACGAGCACGATCGTTGGAAAAGGGTTATGCATACTGGATAGGGCAAATGCCATATACTTGTACTGTACTAGATGCTCCCTAATCGGCCTCAGTAAAGACAGTTGTTCTTGACTTGCATGATCATTTCCACTGGGTGTTTGCAAAGGTTTCCTCGTCGCGTGCAGCCGCTGCCTGGCCAAAGGTAGATTGTGCTGTTGCACGACTCACGAAACGTGAGAGGACATAGTGGCAACAAGAGGTGCTTGGCTTTTGCATCTTCGTCAGATGTACTCTTGCAAGGGGTGCTTCACCTGGAGAACATTCAAATGCTACGTTGTTTTATCATGTGCCGAAGAGCCAGCAGTTAGCTAGTCCAGTTACCACTGCAGTCACTCTCCTTAGGTCACCCTCTCCTTGTGGACGCCAACTAAAACTCAGAGACAGAATCTCTGTTGTAGACCTTACTTGATCTCGATTGCGGCTCAAAATCACCCCTTGGTCTTCACCGAACTTGTTCAGCTTTGACCTGGAGGGTCCTTTGGTCTTCACCGAACTTGAGGGGGACCACGTCACTCACGGTGACACCAGGGGGACCCACACCTCAGGCGTTCCAACCGATTAAGAAACCCAAAGAAAAAATAGGCCACAACCCAGCCAGGGCCAGGGTGTCTCCCTATTGAAACACGCCCAGACCTGCCCAAAGCTGCGTTTCCCTCCGCCGCGGACACGTGACGCCGCCACTGACGATACCAACGCATGCCGCCACCGACGCCATGGCATGACGCATCGCTCGCCGAGTGACGAAGCGTCGCTGGAGCAGCCGATTGCCAGTCACCGGAGACCTGGATGTATAGACGGACTATATACCAGGACGCTACTAGGAGCTCCTGGCCTTACTAGGAGCAAGGATGCTACTAGGGGCTACTAGGAGCAAGGACGCTACTAGG